AAACAAACAAACAAACCTAAGAGGCAATGGGGCAACTAGAAAATAGAATGTTATTGTTAAACTAAGTCTTGGCAAGAAATGTAGGAACTGAGTTTATTTTTGTCTAGGATAACGCCTGACTTTTGTTCACTTTGTTAGAAACCAGTGGAGGGAGAAAGGAGCTGGTAGGAAAGAGATCCTACTCTTATAAGTCTCAGGGACTGCCAGGACTGCTAAGGTGTTGGCCACCTGTATGATATTAACCATTTTCTTTTGTAAGATTCAGGAAATGTTATTATATATCCTTTTACTAACACTTTTGTCTCATGGTATCAGTTATCTTGCCCAAATCTGTTTTTCACTAGTTTGGAATTATTTAAAAACGATATAAATGTTAATGAGTAGCAATTATGTGAGTTGGGATTGGGATCTTCTAGATGTCAAACTGAGAGCTTATTTTGGTATACATAGAAAGAGAAAGCTAGCTAAATGTTTCGTTTAGCTTGGGTGAAACAGGAAGTACCTCTCTTTTATTAATAAAGTCCTAAGGATAAAAACAGATTTTCTAACATACTCTGATTAGCCTTGTGGTTTAAGTGTTATCAGAATTTGTCCCTTTCCTGAAAAGTATTAAAATGAATGTTTAGAAAGTGGAAATTCTACTAGAAAAAAGATTTTTTATCCCGAAACTATCGTTTTAAATTAGTTTCAGTTGGAACTCCTTTGATGTAAAAAGCTACTAAAAATATTTTTATTTTATGCTACTAAAACCATTCACTTCTGAGAAGACTTTCTTGACTCTCCTATCCTCCCCACCCCCGCCTGAGTGAGAAGTCTGTTTCCCTTGTTGTTCCTCTTTTGTACTAACTTCCAACTCTCTGTTATGTCTTTACTATAACATCGTACTGTAATCATTTATTTTCTGGCCCTTCTTTTCCACTAAACTGAGAGTTTGATTCATTTTCATCTCATCGCCTAGCATAGTGCCTACCACACAGGGGTATTCATGAAATTTTTTTATAAGAATGAATGATAGTGTTGTCAGACAGCCCCATATGATAACATGGTCTATGTGGTGAGTCAACATGTACATGAGGGGATAAATTCACCAGTTAGTAATAGAATGAAGAGGGAAAATACAGGATTCAATAAAGGTTATACTCACATACTCTGAAAGCCAACTAGGCAGTCAGGTCATTGATGGACAAATAATTTTTACTTGGCCTAAATTAAGGCTTTTACCAACAACAGTGAATAAGCTATCCTATGTTTTTAAAAATACACTTTATATAACCTGATTACATACAATTTTTGATGTTTTTAAAAATAATTGGAACTGGTCAATAAGATGGTGAAAGAAAATTTGGCCAGGCATGGTGGCCCATGCCTATAATCCTAACACTCTAGGAGGCTGAGGTGGGAGGATAGCTTGAGTTCAGGAGTTTGAGACCAGCCTGAGCAAGAATGAGACCCTGTCTCACAAAAGAAAGAAAGAAAGAGAAAATGTGTAAAAACAACTTAAAGATTAAAGTATGAGAAGAAATATTGGCCCAAAAACTTATGAAGAGAAAAAAAGTTACCTGCCTATATACTTTTTAAAAACCTTCCAATCCTTTCCTTCGGAACATAGAAAATATTGACAAAATTGACTCCTGCTGTGGAAGCCAGCCACTGAGATGATACCTCAAAGATCTGTGCCTTCCTGTATTCATTTCCCTTGTTTAGTCTCCTCCCTTAGTGAGTCAAGTTCAGCCCTTGGGGATCAATAAAATCCAGCGGAGGTGATTTTGGGTAGCTTCTGAGGCTATACCATTAGAGGTCTTGTAGCTTTCACATTGGTCTCTTGGAACCCTCACTCTTGGAGCTCTGAGCATGATACATAGAGTCTGACTACCCCAAAGCCACCTTGCTGGAGAGACCACATAAAGAGGCCCTGAGCTTTCATGTAGAATGATTCCTGGCCAGCCCCCCAGCCATTTGAGACATCCCAGCCGAGGCTCCAGATATACTGTGAAACAGAATTGAGTTATCCCTGTTGAGCCTTGCCTAAAATGCATATTCATGCATAAAATAAATTAATTGTTGTTATAAGCCATTAAGTTTCAAGTGGCTTGTTACTTAGCAATAGGTAACTGAAACACTCCTCCCTTCCTTCCTTCTTCACTTGATGTAAAGTGTTTCCTTAGGTGAGTACAGAGTGAACAAGGATATGTCAGGTCAACTCATAAGGAATTTTCCAGCCATTATTGCTGGAATAATTGACTTATTCATGCTACGGAAATATAGTGCTTCAGGACTGTCTTCTGAGAAGTAACTATTAATATATCACCTCTGTTGTCAAGATACAGGGGACCGAGAACCCTCTCTGGAACTTGTGCCAGGTGTAAACCCATAACCCAATATTTTAATATACATGAATATATACATTAAGCTGAACATGAAGGGCAGCCTTCTACAGAAAAGAAGTCACAAGAGTATAAATAACAGGAGAAATTCAGGCAAAAGGAGCAATCAACCTCTGCCTGGACTCTGCAGAGTTAAAGCTGCTAGTACATGTTCCCTTTTCGGGACCTGTTCCCCACCCACGTTTGTAACATGGAACTCATCCCTGAAGCTGCAGCAATTAGAGCAGGGATACACAACAATCTATAGCCAATCTATATTGACTGGCCAGAAATGTACCCAATTATCTCCCTTGAGAGTCTGAAGTAAGATATAAAGAGGCTAAATTTAGCATGTACTTGGACAGAAAGACCATGAGGAATCATAGTGGGATAGCTGTTGTCAATTCATGAAGAGAGGAGAAAAAGAGAGAGAAGGAGAAAAGAAAAAAAAGAGTGAGAAAGAAAGAGGATGAGAGAGTGCTAGCACTAGCTCTGTTCATTGGCTTTCTAGTCCTCGGTTCTTAAAATTTAATTTAATTTTCCTTTTTTAATTTTGTTTTTGGTCAGGGGTGTTGGTGGGATAGGAATTAACAGAAAGGGGACTTTATCTTCACTTTTGTTTAAGGGTCCTTGAAAAGACCACTATTGGTTATGGGCTTTATTGTAGGTTGGAGTTTCTCATTAATGAATACTTCAAAACAATGAGAGTTTAGAGATTGTTGCTCTAAAACTAGTTTGGGTATGTTGTTTGTTAATTAAGAACAGCATCACTATGGGACAGAGCTCCCACAGGCATCAGAATGCCGAAGGAGATATTTCTTTACTTCATTATTTCAGATGAATTAGAAAGGAACAAATTTAAGGCAGGAGGAGGCACTAGGCAACACAGGCTCTGGGTTTTTCTAGTCTCTGCTCAACCACGTTCATTGTAACCACAGATTAGTCCCTTCACCTTTCTGGATCTCTGCTTCTTCTGCTACACTACGAGGTAGTCACAGTTTTAATATTCCCTGAATATAAAATATCTAATGAGGGTCTTATCCAAAAACATCCTCACATAAAACTTTCAACTCACTCTGAAGATGAAAAAGTATGCACTGGGTAAAAGACCCTATTGCCTAAGATCTGGAACTTTAATTTGCAGTAATTTCTAATACTTAAGTACTTTTCTTCCTGATTGTGCAATAAAGGACAGGAAGTGAAAAGGGGAACATTCTTCATGTTCAAATTAAGTCAGAGGCTCATTTAGGATACACACTAGATGTGAATAAGTTTGGGAAAGTAAAAAGATACAAATTTGAAACTGAACTGATCCTCATTTGATGTCCTAAGATGTTGAAATATTGTTTCTTAGAGAAACCAGCTTACCTTTTTAATTACATACGCAATGCATATGTATTGTAGTAAAATTCGGCCTAAGTATATAACACGTGTTAGTATTTGAGGTATGTATTTTTTAATATCTTCTGGCAAACCCTATACCATTGGCTTGGAACAGATCTTATTGTTTATATGGCAATGTTTATGTCCTCAACTAGGCTATGAACTCCATGAGGAGAACTCCTTTACCATAAATCTACATGCCCTCTCCCAACACACACACTTTAGCCACTTTCTTTGGGAAGGGATAAGAGAAAGGTTATAAGTGTTTCCTTTGCTAGCACTCATGCATTCATTTGACGGATGTTTTATTGAGCTCCCAGTATGAACTTGGGCCAGGCCTAGAGAATTCAAAGATACATGCACTTTAGGACATGCCTTTTGCCTATAATCCTAACACTTTGGGAGGCTGAGGTGCGAGGTGGGAGGCAGGACCAGCAGTTCAAGACCAGCCTGAGCAAGACTGAGATCCCATCTCTACAAAAAATAGGAAAATTAGCCGGGCATGGTGGCATGTGCCTACACTCCCAGGTACCCAGGAAGCTGAGGCAGGAGGATGGCTTGAGCCCATGAGTTTGAGGTTACAGTGAGCTATGATTACCACTGCACTCTAGCTCTGGTGTGACAGACCGAGACCCTGTCTTAAAAAAAAAAAAAAAAAAAAAAAAAGATATGTCTTTTGGTCTCAAGAAATTCACAGTTCTAACATGGAGATGATACACAATTATTTTACTAAGTACATGTGCAATATGTGGAAGTCTTAAGAGAAAGTTCAGTAGAGGGTCGGGCAGGTTGTGGGAGAAGATTCCTGAGGGGGTGACATTGGCCAGGCGATGTGGGGGCGGTGGGAGGGGTGAAGAGGGGAGAAGAGGAATTAGGAATAAGAATTTCAGGGGTTTCCTGTGTCAGCAGGAATTCCTTTTCCCTCACGACCTACCTCATAAAACAAGCCTGAAGTTCGACTAGAGCTCCCTCCGGCGCCTAGAACTTGGAAACTGAGAAGCAGTGGCAAGAAGACCCGGATGCTGAGCCCGGCCTCCCACCAGCTACAGAGCCCCCATAGAGACCCAGGAGGGGCGGGGGCGGGGGCGGGACGAGGCAGAGCTGGGGGTGGGGTCAGCCTTGCGTTTGCCAGAGTCCGCCTGCCCCGCCGCCGGGGGCTGACACAGGAGCCAGGCGTGGATTGGTGTGCGAATACGTCGAGCACTCTTCATAGGCCTCGCAGGGCTACTGGCGAGGCTTTGATTGGCTCGCCAGGCGCTGAGCGGTTATTGGCTGCAGTGGGTTGTCAGGGCGACTGAGGGGAAAAGGAGAAGGGGTGCTGGGCCTGGCGGGCTAACCGTGGCTGCCGTCTGCTGGGTGGTTCCGCGGGGCGGTGTCCGGAGAGCTGCGGGGCCAGGGCACCCAGGGTTCACCCACACTCCCGGAGGTGCCTGAGCGAGTGGGCCGGCCAGTGAGACCCACAGGCCGGAACCATGGGCTGCTTCTTCTCCAAGAGGCGAAAGGCTAAGAAGGAGTCGCGGCCTGAGAACGAGGAGGAGCCGCCAAAGCAGTACAGCTGGGACCGGCGCGAGAAGGTAATGAAAGTCTTGGAGCCGCTGGTGTCAGCCCTCAGGAGTCGCTCTGCAAGGGTCCCTTATGGCCCTGCAGGGCTGAAGGGGCCAACCCAACAGCTGCCGCTCTCTCCCTCGCTCTCTTTCATCAACGCGGGTAACTGAAGTCCGGGTGTGTGACTTTTGGGGGTCTTGAAGTACAGCGCTAGGAAGGGCCCCCCATAGGGCTGCGAAGCACTGGAAGGTGCTTTAGAGTTTGTTGTCCAGGTAGATGGACCCCCAGGAGTTTTCCCTTGGCTCCGCACCCTGACTTGCGCTGACTTCCTGTCCAAGGATGGACTTGAGGGAGCGAAGGAGCTGAGAATGCCCTTAATCTCCAATCACCTCATTTCACCGGTAGTGTAGAGCGGGACTGATTCTCATCTCTTCCGCGGCTTCTGTTCTGTGGCTGTTTTCTCTTTTGTCTGCCCTCCACAGTAAATTTCTTCTTTGGTGCTTCATGATATATTCCACTGCTGAGTTTTTCTCAGTCACTAAGTGGACTGTTCAATGTACAACTTTGTTCTCCCCCTCTTCCAGTTACCGGAAAGGAATAATGAAAATTGAATCAGTCTTGGAATGTGTGTTAAGACTGTAAAGTGAAAATAACTGGCATAAATATCAAGCTATATTTTACTGTTACTTTAAATGAATGAAAATACCCTTATTTTTACTTATGTATTTAGCCAGAAACCAAAAAACTTTGAAAACGTCCACTAGTCTTGCACAAAACACACTTAGTCATACATTTCATAATGGTTCCTCTTTCTATATAGTTCTCCAAATGTGCTTACTAAAATGCTTTGATAGATTTGTCAATTATTTTTCTCTTCCAAACAAAATGAAAGATTTTTAATGGGTCTTGTGAACAGTTAACTCCTTGCTTAACATAACATGTCTTTACCCAAGAATACTTTATAGTAAATTTATTAACATTTTGATACCATAGACCTTTTCCCATGATTTCCAATCCCAGCACAATTTATTCACGTAAATTCTGGTGTCCAAGTGTCACAGTTAAGAAATTGAAAGCTTTTACAGAGTTCTCAGCCCCGCCTTTCTGCCCCTGGTTTTCAGATGCTTCTTGGGTCACATGGTATATTTATTCTCTCTTATTCATACTTGATGGCAGCATTTTATAATGTAGGAAAAGAAAGCACTGTGTTTTTTGTTGTACAAGAAGATTGCCTCTATCATTTAAAGTTATTTGATGGGTGGTTTTTAAGATTCATTTTCCTAAGCCTTGGGATTTCTGACAAGATCTTTAAGCCTTAACTTTCTGCCATAGAGAACGTTGCATATTTTATTTTTACTTTAGCTTTTTGTTTTGAAATCACAGGCTAAAACTAAACTAAATAAAATGCTTTTAGTTTTTATGGATAGTAGTCTTGGTTGCCTCTGACTCATTGTTTCATAATAAATTATTTTATAGTTAACCTTTATTAACATAATATTCGGGTTAGTTGGGATTTCATATGTTAATCCTTTTAGATACGAGGTGTATTCTGTGATTTTTTTTTTCTTTTGCTCTTTGGCTAAGTAAACACATAGAAAAATAGAATAGTGGACATCGACATCTAAGCTTTACCTCCACAAATGAGCGTGTAGTAAACTTTCAATTATAGAGACTGTTTTGAGTTTACAGAGAACATTTTTTTGAGAATACTACCAGGTACTGTAGTTGTAGAGATGTAATAGTAACAGATGTTACTGGATGTGTAAAATAAACTGATGTTTCTGGATGTGTCTATAATAAAAGTTAAAATCTTGATCAGCTCAGCTAATCAAAAATTTTCTAACTAAATGACCATTATATTCTGAAAACAACCAATTTTAAAATCTTTTGGACTATTAAAGAAAGAGAATTACCAGCTTACATTTTGACACCAATGGAGATACCACATTTCCCAACATTTCTTTTTCTTTTTGGAATTTTTTCTTTTGGAATTACTAGGAATTCTCTCTAGTGTGCCTCATTTATGATAGTTTGTCAAATTTTATGCAATTTTAAAGATTTTTTTCTAGTTCCTTGCCTCCCATGAGCATACAAATGTTCTGTATTAGCCCAATGATACTTTAACTGAGCATGATCTTGCTTGCTCCTAGGAAGATTTTAATAGTACCTTAAAAGGAATAGAATGCAAATACAGCCCAGAAAACATAAATGAGATATGCTGCATGTATATTAACAGAAATGTTTTGTATTAAAAGTTTAGTTTTCTGTAATGTGGTCATGAAGTATAGCATATACAGTTTTAAACTTATATCAGACCATTACCACTCAATTTGTAAGACTTCAGGTGTGAAAACAAAATAGGTTGCCTGAAAAGTTTCCTTGCAACTTGGTAAAGCAGTGTTTGAATTTTTCCTTAGGTTGTGTAATCAGGGTATCTATACTAGGGGGCACCCCTTGAGTTTTAGGTATTGAGTTATGTAATTGGGTCAGTCTTAGGGGACTGAAGCTAGGAGAAATTGTCTCAATTAGAAAGAATGCGGACTAAGCAATTGTCAGAGCAACTGACATACTGTAGTCAACAGTGTAAGAAGCTAATTTTCTATTGCTGCTGACTTTGAAAAAGAAAAAAAAAAACTTACCGTACAATTACCTCACTGACATGATGAGAGATATTTTTGGATTGTAAGACTTGTGCTTAAATAATTTGGAAAGAAATACTTTTATCCTTATCTGTATGGTGCCTCCTATAAGTAGGCAAATTATTCAATATATATGTGCTCAAATACCAAGGAAGGCTCAAAATTATAATACTTATCCCTGCTCTTCAAGAGCTCACTGGCTTTGGGAATTAAAACAGGAAACATTTAAGTACATATGAGGTGAGGACCAACAGTACAGAAAGTAGTTTTCATTTTCCAGTTATTCATGCCAGTTACTCCTCTTCCTAGATGGTCAACAGTCCCCAACCTTATTAACACCAGGAACTGGTTTCATGGAAGACAATTTTTCTACAGATGTGTGTGTGTGTGTGGGGGGGGGTAATGTAGGGAGTGGCTTTAAATACAGATGAAGCTTTGCTCCTCACCCAACACTTAACTCCAGCTGTGCGGCCTGGTTCCTAACAGGTCAGCTGATGGAGTGGTGCGGTATGGTGAGGGGCTTGGGAGTTGGGGATGGCAGTAGATAGAAATGAGGATTAGTTCTCTAAACAGTGGTGGCATAAGTATGAAAACTGTGATTTGAATATGGACAGCACATTTTGTGTCTGTTATATTTGTCTCATATTCCATAGAAATAATACCAAACAAAAACCTTATGCCAGAAATTCAAGTGTCTGTTGTGTAACTTTGAGTAAAGCAGCCAATTTGTGCATTTAATGAGGTAAAGGCCTGTTCTGGTCACCTCTGGGGACAGAACTTGAACCAGAGTTTGGGCAGGACAGAACTGTTTTTAATATAAGGCAATCATAATTCCCAGAGTTGTTCATTGTTGAAAAGGGTGGCTTTGTGAGGAACTGATCTCCATGTTAGTCAAGACATTCAGAGAGAGTTTGGATGGTGATCTGCTAGAAAGAAGTGTCTGCTCTGAGTAGGAGGCTAGATTCTGTTTTTAGCCTTCTTTTAAGTACAAAAGGTATTCTAGTTATCCATTGCTGTGTACCAAACCACCCCAAAACTTAATGGTGTAAAACAATAGCAAGTATTTATTTTGTTCACAATTCTTCAATTTGTGTAAGGCTAAGCAGGGTTGACTCTGGTCAATGTGGCACCAGCTGTGGCAGCTTGACTGGTGGCTGAAGGATCTGCTTTCAAGATGGCTTAACTACATAGCAGGCTGGCAAGTTGATGCTGGCTTTCAGCTGGGGCTGAGGACTAGGCACCTCTTCATGCAGCCCTGGCATCCTCAAAGCATGATGGCTGGCTTCCAAGGGTGAGCATCCTAAGACAGACTGGCAGAGGCTGCGTGGTTTTTTCTAACTAGCTTCTTAAGTGAATTCCTAAGTCATTTAATTTGACTTAAGAATGTGGTAGCATTACTTCTGCCACATTCTGTTTATTAAGGCAGTCACAAATGCCCACTCAGGTCCAAGAGAACCTCTTGATGGGAAGAGTGTTAAATAATTTGTCAATATGTTTTAAATCCTCTACATAAGTTGTTTAAAGGAAAAAAAAAAACTAGTTATTTGTTTATTAATTTTTAAAATAGCTTTTTGGAGATATAATTCATATACCATACAATTCACCCATTTAAAGTGTACTGTTCAATATTTTTAGTAAGTTCACAGGATTATGCCGTCATCACCATGATCTAATTTTAGAACCTTTTCATCCCTGGGGAAAGAAACCCTGTACCCATTAGTAGTCACTCCTATTTCCCTCTTCCCAGCCTTTGGAAGCCACAAATTTATTTTTTATCTCTATAGATATGCCTATTTAGGATATTTCATATCAATAGAACCACAATATTTAGCCTTTTGTGACTGGCTTCTTTCACTTAGCATGTTTTTGAGGTTCATCCATATTATAGCATTCATTTATCAATACTTTTCCTTTTTGTTACTGAATAACATTCCATTTTATAGAAATAACACATTTTACTCATCAGTTGGTGGACATTTGGGTTGTTTCCACTTTTTGGCTATTATGGATAATGCTGCTATAAACATTCTTGTACAAGTTTTTGTGTGGAAATGTTTTCATTTCTCTTGGGTACACACCTAGGAGTGGAATTGCTGGGTTATATGGTAACTCTTTGTTTAACTTTTTGAGGAACTGCCAAACTGTTTTTCAAAGTCTCTACAACATTTTGTATTTCCACCAGCAATGTATGAGAGTTCCATTTTCTTTATCCATATAAAGTTTTCGTGAAGGGAAAAAGTACAGGGAGTGAAAAGTTTTGGGGACTGGGATTTTAATTTTTATTCTGCACACAACTACACTTGACTTGTCAGCTTTTCCAGCCTTCGGTTTCCTAAGATTCCCTTCCAAATCTCTAATTCTTTGAGCAGCTCATGAGGGGAGGTAAGCAT